GTGAGTTTGTTGTGCTACAAAACACAGTTGGCTTTCTTTCCAGGCTCTCGAAGTAAATAAGTCATTCCTAATTCTTATTAAAGTGAAATCTTTTTGCGATATTATAAATCCTTTATTAACCAAGCTTGTTCAGTCAAGATGGCGGATATTAGCCTCGTTCTTTTTTCGCATTTTTGTGGACCCCGACTTCTTCTTGGTCCATAAAAATGCGAAAAAAAGAACTTGGCCAATATCCAGCCATCTTGACCTCACGCTTGGTTAATTAACAATTATTCCACGAGCGCGCGTTGGATATGAGATGATAACCGGATGTTACAATGTACAGATATTAGATTATGGTATATTGGCTCAAATACCATAATGGCTAAGCCAATAAAAAGTCTTGAATTGCATTATCCAATAATCCAGTTTTTAATAATGATGCATATATCATGCGTAACTAACAACCCCATCAGGCCTATACTCAACTCTGGTTTCTGTAACATGAGGCAAGTATTTCTACTCCCCCCTGAATGGGATGCTGGTCCATCACAGGGTTACCCCCCTGCAATAATGTCGTCAGTACCCATTTACACCTGGGTGAAGGGAAGCACTGTGAGAATAAAGTATCTCGCCTAAGAACACAATAAAATGTTCCAGGTCAGGGCTCAAACCCAGACCACTCGATCAAGAGTCCAGTGCACTTACCATTAGGCCACCACACCTCCCCACTGCTGTTATTAACACTATCCCTATCATTTCATAGGTTTCAATGAAAGGCAGTTACCTGTAATTCACTGTCACCTATAAGGCTTTTGAGCAGGCTCTTGAGTTTGAGTTTTACCTCACAGAGCTCTTCTGGGCATCACAGCCTATGGCACCAACGGCAGGCACTCATGGATAAACTTATTGAAACCCCTTTGTCATCATCATCATCATTAACTATCATTCTAATTATCATTATGTATTGATCAATTCAAAGCTTCAACATCTTTACCCCCAGGTAACCCCCCTTGGCATTTGAACTTAAGGATTAGCTGGTTCAAATTCCTGCTTCTCCCCCCCCCAGGCCAAAATTCTTTATCAAACAATGTTGTAGAATGTAGCAAATTAAAGTAACTTATTAGGTTTTGATACTGTTGGTTGTAACCATTATTTTACAATGTGAAAATTGTATTTAGAAGCAATTCACTCTCCTAAGCAGACTCTTTATTTACTCCACTAAACCACATGTATTAGACATCAGAAAGAATAGACAATTCCAGTTCAAATGCCCCACCCCACCCTGGTAAGGTACAGATTTCCCACCCAGCTGGGCAAAGAGGATTGTCAAATGTTCACCGATTGCTGAGGAGGGGGGGAGGGGACATTGAAGCTTTGAATTGCTCAGTGCATATCCATTATCAGAAATACTATCACCACCATTCGCACTTCTAATGTCATCATCATTATCATCATGATTATTAACTGGGGCTCATGCCAAAAATCATATTCAACACCACAACTTTATTTGTTTTGTTTTAATTGACAAGTTCTCATCAAATTAATCATCAAATACCTTTTCTAACTCACTATTTCAATTTAAATATAACAGCTAAATTGCAATTTTCTTACCTTGGTTCTTTACTGTGGAGCCCCTTCATGAAGATGTTAACAACCTCTTTGGTCTCATTTTCACCAAGTGGATAAATCCATTTTTTTTGGTCTCTGAGTTGTTCATGTTCAGGAAACGGGTAAATAAATGAGTGAACAACACGATGTGTGACTGCTTCATATCCCCATATTGTATGATCCAAAGTGTAACTTGGTTTATACTCACAATACGGTAAAACATTTTTTACTTCCTCGTGTGATAAGCAGCTCATTTGGCTTGGTGATTTGAAATATATTGTTTGATTCCTTCGCCGAGCACAGGCTTGAGAGTCTGGTATATCTTCATCATAAATATTAAAAATACCTAAGCTGTTGTCATCCATAATTGGAGATAAAAAGGTCGAGTTTATGATTTCAAAACCCGAGCTACTTGGAGTTTTCCACAAAAGTTGTAACTTGTTCATTCTGTGAACACAAATGGCGACTATGTCGATGAAATATTTTCCCCCAGCCACCAGATCAATTGCTGAAGAAACTTGAGAGTCTGATTTGTTTTGAGGAAGTTTCCCAGGGTCTAAGGATAGGATCATCGCTTCTTTCCGATCCGTGTTGTTGCCAAGATAGACTTCAGCACTGCAAAATTTAACCATGAAAAAAAATACCCCAGATTCGTTGGGGTTTATAAATCCAATCAATCTCATTCCCGTCGCTTGGGTCAAACTGCCCGTAATGACAGTTCGTTTCAGAACAACTCTTTGGTCTGGAGCTCTTGGAAACATAGGAAAATAACACAAAATTTCTAAGTTTTCCGCACAAGTATCTGACCACAAATACAAGTTTAAGAAACCTAACATGTCGGGTGCTTTAGAAGATTCCTCCTTCGGCGTTTGCAGATAAAAACCAGTCGCATTTTCTTTTAAGACTGCCGCTTTGACTCTATTGTTAAATATACTGGAAAATTTTTGAAATTTAACAAACGTTAGAAATTCAAATACCAGGAACAAAACGACTCCCACTTTCACGATTTTTCGTTTCCATAAAAGCTCCAATGTAGTTCGCACTTGATAAATTGATCTCATTTTGCGCGAGTCAAGTTAAACCAGACTTTGAAAAAAATTTTCGCTGCCTATGTGGCAACTGAACATGACATCCACTTACAGCCTTGACCTTTAGCTGCTCTTTTTCAAAGCAGATTAATTGAATATACATTCCACCAAAGAATGAAATGGTTACCAAGGGAATTACAGCAGTTCCAAGGGCAAGTAATACATGGCAGTCTCGATTTTGACTCCCTGTTACCCAGTCTCCATATCGACTCCCTGTTACCCAGTCTCCATATAGACTCCCTGTGTTGTAGCATTGCAGTTGTGTCTTCCGTTGCAGTTATGTCCTCACAACTAATAACCAATAGAATGTGGTTTTATTTCTTCCAATCAAAAGGCGTTGTGAACGTGTCTGTTGCTTGTCACTTCCCAACTAGGGGAGGGATGCAATGTAAAAATATTAATTGAAAGAAGATCGTTAAGATTTCCGCGCTCGAGGGTTAAGAATTTCACGGGATATCCTTCTTTCATGAGCTATCCTTGGTGTCGTTTGGAACACTTCGGATTGGTGAAAGATTAAGATTCTGGTTGCGTTTTTAAGTGCGAATTATTGGCGAAATTTTCTTCGATACGTTGGAAAGCTTAGGAAGACGAGAATTTGACATT